AACTTGACTTACTTGAATTGGCTTGGCACCAAGTTAAGCAAGCAAGGCTTCCAAGTTACTTACTTGTTGCGAACTCTGCACCCAGACAAGGTTGCCAATGCCCAGAAGGAGGAAGTTGTACTGTTTGATGCGTAAGCATGCCTACACGACGACAACTATGTGCTCAGTTCGATCCACTAACAGTAAGAAGGCTATTGATTTGATTAGGTGACTTTTGAAATTGTGCTTGGAGTACTGGTGTCGCGACAGAGAGACCAGAGCTTGCGAAGTTTCCTGTGAAATTGAAGAAAGCTGTAGCAGTAAACGCCGCTAGTTTCAACTTGCGTGGCCATCGCAACGGATCTCTATCGTCGTCACTTGGTTGTGGCAAGAGAGGCAGCCCATGGTGGTGGGCAACAACGGTCTGAACAATCTCATCTTTGATGAGCTGCGAAGAGGCCATGACGGATGGCTGGTCATATGCAAAAGATGATAGTGAGGAGTCAAGTAGCTTGTCAAGAGAAAATTGCTACTTTTGTTAGTGGGGAGTTGCAGCACCTCGAAGTAGGCTTTGCATGAAGTTGCAGAACCTGGGTTATTCTATTACTTTCTACATCCCCAAATATGCGGGGTAGTGGTAGCATACGTAAAGTCTATCAATAGGAAGATGGAGCACTGGGGAGTTAAGAGTGCAATACACACTAAGTCAGCCAGGTTTGGTCCTCTTGTTGGTAATGATAGGGCTGTTCAGCATCTTCGATGATATTGAACTTACACTGATACGTTCGGCGACGCGCGTATTGAAAAAAGGGTTGTAAATAGATCAAGAATCAGTATAAATTCCCCTACGGCCCGTATATGCGCTTTCTTAAACCGCTACGGCTCACCGGAAAAGGATAACTGCCGATGACAGATTTATCTCCCCGGATGCGGCGGAGTTAGTGATCAAGCTTATTCTGCCATCTTAACCCTAGTCTTATACTTCTTCTATGTTTTTCAATACGTTGACTGGCATACATACGCGAGTCTGGGACCAAGTAACCATCAATCTCGCCTCTTTTCGTGTTAAAAGGTTCCATTTTCAACAGAACAGCAGAACATCTGACAATATTACACAATACGTCCGTCGTGACTATGGATACATCAAAAGTGAACGGTGTAAGCTCTAATAATAGTTCACACCACTTACATGCGTGTATAAAAGATAGGAAGACTGCGAGCAGCCGCTACACGGTATATCTGCCGACAACCTACCCGTCCCAAGCTCTTCGGTTTCTCAAGAGAGTGGGCACCGAACACTCAGCTTCTGAAGAAATCAATAATATTCGGCCATCGTCCCAGCAAGCCCAAGTCAAGTTAAATATCGTAATTGTGGGTGCAGGGCTGTGTGGACTGTCACTTGCCGTTGCTCTCAGCAGACGAGGACATTCAGTGCGGCTACTGGAGCAGGCTTCCCAACTCGGTGAGGTTAGAAAACATGTTTGTTTCTTATAAGTCCACGCCTGCTCACGCCCTTATAGGTTGGTGCAGGCATTCAGATTCCTCCAAACTCCGGACGACTCCTCCAGCGCTGGAATGTACTTCAGCACCTGCACAAGGACGCAGTCCAACCTGAGGGCATATATTTCCGTCGTTGGGAGACCGGCAACACAATTGGATACACAGCTCTAGGGCAGACTTTCCAAGACGATTTCGACGTGCCGTACTATGTGCTTCATCGCGCGCATTTCCATGAGGCACTGTACCAGCGGGCGTTGGAACCCGGTGTGTCGGTGAAACTCGGGTGCAGAGTCAAAGAGTACGAAGATAGCAAGGGCTCAGTAGTGTTGGAGAGCGGCCAAAGGATTCATGGAGATCTCATCATAGCCGCGGACGGTAGGTTAATATCACTCTTGGCATTGATCTAACCCAGCATAAGCTGAATGTGCTAATGCTGCTTGGACAGGAATCAACTCAGCGGCACGGGCAACACTATTTCCTGATACCAATAATGAGCCAGATTTTCACGGCTTTGCAGCCTACAGAGCTACAGTCCCTATCGCAAGAATGAAAGAGGACCCAGACATCGCTTCGATGTTAGACAAGCCAGCTCTGAACATCTGGTACGTAAACCTCATGGCAATAAACCTTCATCAGCCCCTGGATGATCTTTGAGCAAAGAGTTGAACTTTCTAACACACAAGTAATAGGATTGGCGAAGACCGACATGTCATGACCTATGCGATTGCGGGCGGAGAGTCATTTAACATGGTCTTGTCTCATATCGACCATTCCAATCCAGCGAGTTGGGCAAAAAGGTTTCTCAAAGAAGATGTCCAGAAGGAATTCAAAGGATGGGATCCGAGGTAAGTGCACTATGGAGAAATGTGACTGTCATAGATTCTCACGGTAGTAATTAGGCTCACAAAGATCATCTCTCTTATCGATGAATGCCTCAAATGGCCTCTAAAAGTTGGCCGCCCACTCCAAACGTGGACTTCGCCTTCATCTCGGCTTATCATTGTAGGCGACGCTGCCCATGCTATGTTGCCCTACATGTCGCAAGGGGCCGCGATGGCTGTGGAGGACGGGGCCGCGCTCGCCGTCGTTCTTAACAAGATTACATCGCTCGAACAACTCCCTTTTGCCCTCCGATTGTTTGAAAAAGAGCGGATGAAGCGGTGTGGAGACATGCAAAACGCTAGTACAGTGAATGGGTACATTTGGCACTTCCCTGATGGCCCAGAGCAAGTGGCAAGAGATTCTGCAATGTCTGCCGAGGTATTAGGTCTTCCATTTACCAGTAGCGCTAATCAGTGGAGTGATCCGGTAACCCAATGGTGGGCGTATGGATACGACGCCGAGAGTGTCATGGAAGAAGCATGGAACAAATCTGTTCGAGAATTGATTGCACGTGCAGCCAAACATGAGTGAACAAGTCATTCTGCTCGTCAATTTGTTGATTACGAGGATAGTCTTAGGACATGAATAAAATTATAGACAAATTCCTTTCCGTTCTTACGTATTATAGATGATTTTGATACCTAGCGAGGAAATCTATTCACATTTGCAGTCTTCAAATAGGAAATCGGGGCATGGACGTTCAGCTCAAAGATTCAATTAGGTACATCAATGTGCAATGCCGTGGTTTAAACAAATCGAATAGCGCTTATAGACGATAACCATCCCTTTCCCGCGATGAATGCGGGTCATGAACAAGATTCAAGAACATGCCGGGAGTTTGATACGTCTGATAACCCGTAATCGATGAAATTCCAACCAGAAGTCCAGTGGTCCATCAGCGGCCTACTAATTGATAATAAGAATTTGAGAAGAGCTCCTTAGCCGTATATCTGCACATGATTTCATCGATAAGTCTACAAAACAGGCACTTGGTTCAGTTCAGTTACTTCGCCAACAGGATATCGGGCTGGTAATAGGTATCTGAGCTAATAAAACTTTTCAAACAACATATAGAGGTACAGGGTAAAATGAGTTCAGTAATCAAGGGGGCGTAGAAATGATTGTATGCTGCCTATATTCCTACTAACACGAGATTCCTGTTCCCTGTAAGCATTGCATGCAACGGTGACCCTTGTGTCTTTGCAGGCTGATGCTTTCCCCCTAGGACCCTCGAAGGAGCTTCTAAGCCAATCCTATGCAGCTTCATTTACCGAGGAGGGGATACCATTCAAGTAGCCGGGCTTCATGCCGGCTTTTTTAACGGGCGGAGTTATCGCATCATATATCTGTTGGATAATGGATTCATTGGCTAACTAAGATAGGGATACTGCAAACGTATATATGTGGCAGAAACTCGAGTGGCTGGTTCCCAGCCACCAGATTTCCTATCTTCAACACTCCCCCTTAGCCAATGATCTAG